TGACAATTCTCCCGGAACGGGCGGATTCGCTCAAAACGTGCGGATTCGCCCAAGTACAAAGTGAGCGAATTCACGCAATCTGAGCGAAAACGCACAATTTGAGCAGATTCGCCCAAACTGTGCGGATTCGCGCAATTCGGGCTAATATGTAAAGGACATGTATATAAAGAACTTGATTTCGGCCTAATGTAAAAGCAACTTTCTTACAAGTTAATTAGTTTCGACTAAATAAAATAGAAATATTTTATTTAAAACTTTTATCTTCTTTAACCAAAATTATTCGCTAATAACAAAATAAATTCGTTGATCCTCTATTCATTCTGATCCACACAAAATAAAAATAATTGTTATCACCAATTAAAAATATGCTCTCCCAAATTTAATCGGTGACACAGTGATGAAGCCACCAAAAAAGCATATTGGGTACGAATCGAGCACAAATAGCGATGTGTCGCGCATAGTGTGTTACGCATAGTGTGCTACGCATAAGGTTTTAGATATATTTTTTATAGACATTTACTTATTAATAAACATTTCTAAAAAAAATTAAATATGCCATTTACTTTCTTATTATTATATGTGCATTTATGATATTTCCCTCCCTATGATATATACACACTATGCGCACTATACGCACTATGCGCAAAAAAAAATCACGGTTACTATGAATGGCACATCTCTAGGTTTGACCAACCTTTAATTATTAGTTAGGAACTCCTTTTAGTTTTACTATATTGGTTTTAGGAATGCCTCAAATAATATATAGTTGTATATAGTGATTTTAGTCTGTTTGGACATTATTGGCTATATGCCAGATTTAAGTGCATTATTGGCTGTGTGACAGGTAAAGGTAATATCTTGGCTATGTGCCAGATTTGGTGACTTTGTGTAATAGAGAGTAGGAGTTCTATTTGTTTTGTCGCTTTGTTTGTTTTGTTCAAAACACTCTTTTTATTGATTTATTCATTTTATTATTATTCGAATTATTGAATTGTCCGTTTATTCAAATTACTCGTTTTATTCAAATAAACTTTCAATGTAATTTGAATACTCGAATTCATAATGAATAAAATAAATATTTCGAACAAACCTTATTCAAATAGAAACCCTACCCAGGTAGTATAATTGTATATAATGATTTTAGCTTAGTTTAAACATATTGGCTGTGCCAGATTTTGGTAATAAGTAACTTGGATTGCACGCTCGCAATAAATAACTACAGCATTACGGTTTTACAGTTTTATGACTTTTACAACTTTATCATGCCGATTTTGTGATACAGTATTTTTGCTATATATTAAAAAAAAATTTTTTTTTGCAAATATAATAATAATTTTTAAAGATGGGAAATGCTTTAATTAAAAATAAGCATCGCGATGATATTTCTACTGACATAAATGATGATGATGAATATTCAAAGGAAAGAAGAGAAAAATATGGAGAATGTTCAACCTGCAATAGATATAATACCAGTTATTCATGGTGTCAATCATGTGATCCAAAACTATTAACTGAAGGATGGACTAGTGGTAATAAAACATTAGATGAGTTGACTAAAAGCACACAACTTAAAGCAACTCACTATGATTATTATTATCTTCAATGGATTCCATATAATGATTTAACAAATATTAAAAAGATAGGTGATAGTGGGTTTGCAACTATATACAAAGCTACTTGGTCAAATGGTTATAAAATTGCAAGTTATGGTAGTAAAATATTTAGCTGTGATAGGACTGTTGCATTAAAAAAACTACATAATCCACAGAATACTTCTGATGAATTTCTTAATGAGGTAAATTATTTTATTTTTCTATTAATTTCAGATTTTAAATATTATTCTGAAATTCAATATATTTTTTCATATAGTTTAGAAATTATGTTATATTTCATGGTGAATCATTTATAAATAAAATTTATGGATTAACACAAGACCCAACTACAAAAGAATATATCTTTGTAATGAAATTCATGGGATATGGAGGTCTTCATGTTTATGAAGATCAATATTCAAAGAAAAGAAATAAAGATTATGGGGAATAAAGACTAGTGCCATAATCCAAAAAAGGAAAAAGTATGGTTGCAAAAATGGTCACAAAGGTAATTGCAACCACTTTTTATATGCCGTAAATACAATTACTACCATCATCATAATTTACGGCACTA